CTTGAGCAAAGCAGCTTACAACACTTGCGGACAATTTTACAAGCCGTACGGCGGGGGGGTTGGTTTGCCTACACACTTGTAAGGATTTTCCATGCCTTTTGTCAAGTGCCGGGGCGCTGAGTGTGAAAAATGCGGCTTACCATAAACATTATGATATATTTTATTTGCTGTTTATTTCACATGGCTCTGCTGAAATGTCCGCACACACATGCGCACTCACAAAACTCATAAATATGTATTAAGAAATTGTTGTTCTCTTATATTTAGAATTTTTTTATGATTTACTTACTTGGCTTTGTCCGGCCAAAAAGCGCACCAACTTGTGCAAATGGAAACCTTCTGCAGGACGAACTTTTCCATCAACTTTGGCTACAATTTCACTGCCGTTGCTAACGCAAACCCAATCCCATTTTCATTCCCTTAGTCATTGCTGTCTCATTGAAAATGCAAACAGCAAACAGCAAAAAGCAAAAGCAAACTCTGGGGCTCAGGTAATGCTTTACCCTTCATGAAAATGAAATTTTATTTTACGCTGATTACCTCGTCAGACGGCGCGTCACGCCCCAAAAAGCCGCGCACAGACAACGACAACGAATAAATGTAATTTCGTCCCTGCCCCTTTCAAGGGGGTCGCGCCCATACTGAATAAACATTATGACAGAGCTGTTTGCTGTAGTTGTTGCCCTTGTTGTTGTTGCTGTTGCTGTTGCTGCTTTGTCGTGAAAAATGTGGCGACCAGGAGGCAGTCATCATTTTGGCAACTGCTGCGCCCGTTCCCATCGCAACAGCCACAACCACAGCGCCTTGCCTTTCAAGGTGAACTTTGGCGTCTGCTTCTGCTGCCACATATGAGAAAACATAAATTCAGGCCACCAGAGTCCTGTCAAAGGGAAAATACGTACTCTACGTCTTGGCTCAGCTGCTCCAGTTGCCAAGGGGCTCCAATTGCAGGCACAAAATTTCATTTGCACGATAAGCACGAACATTTTGTCTCGTGCACTCTGCATGAGATTAAATTTCAACAGAATTTATAGGAAATTTATGCGAAATACACAGTATCTTGACTTGAAGCTGATGTTATCATGAAGCACATGTCGTGTATTCAAAGAAGAATCCTTCAAAGTTATTTAACAAAATGCGTTTTCCAAGATTTTAATCAAGACGTTACCTTTGACTAAGCCGAGCAAATGAAATAAAATTTCAAAATGTTTTCAAATTCAGTTCGTGTTTCAAGTAGAAATAGTGGCAAGTGCTTAAGGTAGAGATGGCTATCTTCTGTTTTCTTTTAAAGCAATTCAATTAAGGCCACATAGTAATTTTATTTCACCTTATTTTACAAGGGCTATACTAGTGATATAATAATGGACTATGTGAACGATTCATGTAAAGCCTTGCACAACTTCTAAAGTGAAATTATGAAAAAGTAGTTGTTGGAGAAATTGTTGTGATGTTTTGATGGCCATTTAGCTTCAACGACTCTCTCTCTCTCTCTCTCTCTCTCTCTCTCTCTCTCTCCAAAGTTTATTTTGTTTCAAATGATTGGGATAGTTTTTGTTGTGATCCGCATTTATCCTTTAATATAAATTATTATGTTTTCAATATTTTTCGGTATTTGTTCTTGCCACCATAGAAGTCACAAGCGATTTCTTAATGTTGGAAAGGTTTTCAATCAGTGTTCAGCATTTTCATTATTTTAGGTGGGAATAAAAAATTTAATATATTATTTATATAAATATTGTAATATATGTACAAACACACCAGTGAAGTTGCTATAGAAGCTAATTGCTTTCTGATGCACCCTAAGTCCGTTCGGCCTATTATATCTTTCTAAACTTGGAGCAGATTTTTCATGCTGAATATTCGAAGTCTGGCTTTTTTAAGCAATTCTGTAAAATTAGAAGTAAGTTGTACGTTTAAACTTTAATAAAATATAATAATGCAGAATTTAAATTTCATTTAACATTAAAAAAAAGTGAAATACAAGTTATCTAAACTAATAACGTTTTGTTCTTTATGTTTTGTGAGTGCTATTTTCTACGCTGTAAGCCTTTTCATACAAGAAAGCTGAATATGATCGAGTTGGGCTGTTAGCTTGAAAAGTTGACAAGAAATACATTTTGACATTGATTATTATAAATATCTGTCCAGTTGGCAGCGTTCACCTGTGGATGAATGCCACCACGGTTTTCATAAGACCTGTCAGAACACAAACAAATTGTCGCCACCCGTTTCCGGTTAACTGCAGTTGAAAAGCTGAAGCTTGGCTGGGTTTTGTTGCGCTCGGTTGAACTTGAACCCAATGCATTGAATTATAAATGTAACATGAAACAAGTATTTATTTCAATGTATAATTTTAATAAACCAAACTCATGCGTATAGTTTGCACCCCCTCACAGTCTTATGCATAATGTATACACACAAAAGATGGTGCCCCATCTACTCCGATCTGCGCGCTGCCTGGAGTACCTTGTTAATTGCAAGTGGGCGCTCTAACAAGGCCAGTTTCATGTTGCTGCCCGTTGGGGTTGCCACAGAGGGCGCAAATATGAAAAGGAAACCAAATAAAGCGCCCAAGGATAATGAACAAAGAACGACAAAAGCGACGAGCCAGAGCCAAAGCCAGAGCCAGAGCCAAAACTGTGTGGCACATTCTCGATGAATTTAATGTTGAGCAAATGTTTTCGAAAGCCAAAGCAAATGTTTGTGCTAGGTAGCTGAACAGAAATCCACAGGCAGCTTAAAGAAACAAGCCGAGCACCACTCATCTCCTTTTTACGGTGCATTTCAGCCTCTGGGAAATTCGTCAGTTGTCAGCCGGAAAAATCAATAAAATTACAAAAGCGTAAAAATAAACGAACTGAACATTTGTTCAACATATATGAGTATGTGTAAAAATTTCGCTCGATGTGTTTGTTATTATTACTTGTATTGCATTAAATTTGTCGTTTTTGTATTGTGCTGCCTTGGCCTTATTAAACATTCGAATTTCAGGTAGGCACACGTTTCTGCACTTGACTCTCGAGTAGCAACCACCGCGTAGATAAAAGGGACTTTGGCAACCACCCCTAGGTCAAGTGTTGCGACTGCTCCTCACCTGAAAGGCAACAAAACAAAAAATATCTAAAAATTAAAGTCGTTGCTGGCAACCGCCTTGCATAAAATAACACACGTAATTGACTCATGAGTCCGGGGGTGGCCCACGTCTGTGGGGATGTGGGTTTGTGTGTGAGGGTGTGCGAGTGTGCGGATGTTGTTACCGCTTGCGGACCTACCCGCCTTTTGTATGTACAGCCCCCCTCCTCCGCAGGATCTATGCATTTAGATGAGAGTACGACATGGTCATGAAAATTTAATGATAAAACGAAATGTTTTTGTTGCGTCTCCGACTCGAATATGCCGAACCCCCACAGAATTGGAATGGAGTCAGACATAGAAACATATTAATGCCCTGCACACGTACTGTCTTTATGGCTAGGCCGTGAAGTTGGGGCATCATGAAAATTCAAGATCGATGAGCCTTGGGGTGGCATTAGTATTGATTAGAGGACAGCTATAATATTGGATAATCCATTTTTTTATGTTTTTATTATTTTATGTCTGCAAACAAAATTTTGAATGCATAGCTGTAGTGTTCAAATGTTGCTTGAGAACTGTTAATTCACTTTTTACATATAATGCGCATCATTATAATTTAAAATTTAAATACAAAATCTACTATTTTGCTCTCTACTTGAGAATTTCTCAGAATATGTATTTTTTAACTTCTGAAAACAAATAATAATAATTAAAACATAATTTGAATATTTACTTTCTCGCTAAATATCTAATAGAATATTGAGCTACTTTGTTTAATATTCATATTAATGAAACTCAGTTTATTATCCGTTTATCAGTTTTCAAAAAATTGTAAACAAAATCAAATAATAATCAAATATATATTTGCTGACAATATTCCAAACACTACTCTACACATATAGGAAATATATGCTTGCTTATTTTTGTTGCGATCGGCCGGAAGACCATTTAAATAATATTGTTAATCCATTTCTTTGTAAGGGTCACCAACTAGGTGTGTCTACTGTAAAAGCTTCAACCAGCAAATGAAATGTATTTATTATGCTGTCAGTATGTCTGGCCATGTGCTTAGCAACATATTATTTAAAGTTTCGCCACATCAATTTTTGTACCTTCGCTGCAGGGCAACAGCCATGATTCCAGTGGTAGGCGTGGGTGGTTGATTGTTCCCGAGTCCAGGTTGTGCTGTTTGCGTGCCGTTGAAGTGGCACTTCCAATTTTTCGTGCAAATGTGGCCCTTTGTATTGGGCCGGCAGAGGAAAAGCAATGATTATAATTACAGCGTCGCGCAGGTTTTTTGATGAGTGCCCCGTGGTCCGTGACCTGAGCCCCGAGAACGGGTCGTGCGTGCACGAGGCGACTGACGAGGGCCTGCACGTGGTTCCTTTATTTATTTAATTATAACTAATGCACATTTAAGGGCTGAAGCTGATGGCCCTTGGGCCGAAAGCCGATTAAAGTGCCCACGAAACATTATTGTAATTACAATATACTCGTATACATTTATACTATATATTCATATGCATATTTGATGAATTAATTACATGAATTTTAGTATTTGGTTTATGATTGAAATGTGTGTCACTAGTGCAACGAAAAATGTACTTAGCTTGAATGTAACATAGTGCAGTAAAAGCAAACGATAAGAAGTGAACTCGAAATTATGAAAAATATGTCCACTAATTAATTAACAATACAATTTTTTGTTCACCAGCAGACATCCTTTTGCTACACAGAAACAACATTTCAATCATAAAAGCGAGCAAAATACTAGAAATAAAAATATATGAATGAAAAAGAAAGAAAGAACTGTACTTAATTGTTGCCTTCTACCAAAGTACTAAACGACAAACAAATTTTTATGTAATGAACGAAAGGGCATCAAAACAAAAGACTAACGAAATCTTGTTTCTGTGTCGTTAAAGGTTGTCCACTGGGATGCCAACTTGCACACCAACAACACGAAAACATGTAAAGCCACATAAGAACAGGAAGAACAGCAGCAGCAGCAGCAAGAACCACAAATACAGTTAACCACACGTAACGACAAACCACCTCAAAGCGAGCAAATTGATGTTGAACTCGGGCATTGTGAGCAGAGGCAGTACCCGTAGCAACAGCAGCAACAACAATTAACGGAACGGAAACGGAAGCGACCACATTGTAGCAAGCGCTGCACAATATCCGGCAGACATGAAATTGGCGAGCGAGCGAAGCGCAAAAGCGAAGGATATTAAAACTGTCTGTTAACGGCTCAGTCAGTCAGTCAGTCAGTCAGTCAGACCAAGAAGCTGAGGCAAATTGCCCCGAAACATTGAGTACAAAAGCAAGCAGGAGTGACAAGAAAGGAGCAGCACATTGCTAGCGAGGAGAAGAAAACACGAAAAGGTAAAGGAAGCGGAGCACGAGAAGCGTGAAAGAAAATTTGAACGATTCCAAGTTAAATAGCAACAACCACAATGGCCTCATTTCAAATACCTTTGATCAATCTGGAGCTGCGCGAGGTGAAGGAGATCTTATGGGAGAAAATACAGGAGCCGGTGAATCAGAGACGCCTGATCCTGGTAATTGTCTCGATAGCATTGTTGCTGGACAACATGCTGTATATGGTTATAGTGCCGATTATACCCGACTATCTGCGTGAGATTGGCAGCTTCGATGATGGACCGACACCTCCACCATTGCGCGACAATCGCACCGGCCAAATCATACCCGTACATCATGACCATCACGGGCAGGACTCAGCCACAGGCATACTGTTCGCCTCGAAGGCCATTGTGCAGCTGATGGTGAATCCGTTTTCGGGCGGACTTATCGACAAAATTGGCTACGACTTACCCATGATGATTGGCCTAACCATTATGTTCTTCTCCACGGCAGTCTTCGCTTGCGGCAGCAGCTACAGCGTCCTCTTTTTTGCCCGCTCGCTTCAGGGTGCGGGCTCTGCGTTCGCCGATACCTCGGGTCTGGCCATGATAGCGGATCGTTTTACGGAGGAGAACGAACGCTCGCAGGCATTGGGCATAGCGCTGGCCTTCATCAGCTTCGGCTGCCTGGTGGCACCCCCTTTTGGAGGTGCGCTTTATCAGTTTGCTGGCAAGGAGGTGCCCTTCCTCATATTGGCAGTGGTTTGTCTGCTCGATGGCCTGATGCTGTTGCTGGTCATGAAACCGGTCAAGGACCAAATCAAACAGAGCAAAGAGGTTTCGGATCAGGCCATACCCATTTGGCGTCTGCTTATGGATCCGTATATTGCCGTTTGTGCCGGCGCCCTGACAATGTCTAATGTGGCGCTGGCCTTCCTGGAGCCCACAATCTCGTTGTGGATGGAAGATACAATGACCACAGAAAATTGGAAAATTGGTATGGTATGGCTGCCCGCCTTCTTTCCGCATGTTCTGGGCGTGGTCATAACGGTGAAAATGGCGCGCAAATATCCACAGCATCAGTGGCTGATGGCCGCCGGCGGCTTGGCTCTAGAGGGCTTCTCCTGCTTCATCATACCGTTCTGTAGCGGCTACAAAATGCTGATGCTGCCCATCTGCGTCATATGCTTTGGCATTGCGCTCATCGACACTGCCCTGCTGCCCACACTGGGCTACCTGGTGGACGTGCGCTACGTGTCCGTCTACGGCAGCATCTACGCCATTGCGGATATATCCTACTCGATCGCCTACGCTGTGGGGCCCATCATTGCGGGTGGCGTGGTGGAGGCCATTGGCTTCACAGCGCTCAACTTCCTGATTGCTTTCTCAAATCTGGCCTATGTGCCGGTGCTGCGCAAGCTGCGCAACATCTACGACTTCAAGCCGTTCGAGAACGAGGCGAATATCTTGATGCAGGATCCGCCAAACAAGGAGTACCAGACGTACGTCATGCACGATCAAAAGCCTGTCGATGGCGAATTCAAGAACCATCTGGAGTACGGCCAAAAGTACCAGCAGGATCAGGAGACCAATCTGGACGAACAGCAATACGACTATCAGCAGCAGCAAGGCTATCAGCAGGACCAGAGCTATCAGGCCCAGCAACAGGGATATCAACAGCAGGGCTATCAGCCGGGCTACCAGGAACAAGGCGGCAGCTATGCACAGCAGGCACAGGCACAGCCACAGCAACGGGTCGCAAATCCTTTCCAGCAACAAAGTGGCGGCAGCAGAGCACCCGCCGGACCGGCGAATCCCTTTAGACAAGGATTTTAAACTATTGTCTTACACAAAACTAGCATTAATTTATGTTTGTTTGTACATTCTCGAGCGCATTGTTTGTACATTTCGTTAGAACTTTCTTGATTTTTTGTTATCGTGCGAGACACATTGACACTCAGATACACACACACACACACACACACACACAAATTCATATTTATATACATTATGCAATGCTAATATGCATACGACTCTATTACATAGGCAAGTGGTACGTACACTATAACAAGCATAACATAACATACATACAAAGGTATATACATAGTACATATATGTATGATATACATTTATGAACAAATTGCAAATATTTTAAGCAACAGCTAGCTAATGCAATACACCGCACGAGTTATTTGTATCATACACCAGTTGAACTATACATAATCGTATACATTTAGCCATACATACTATATAAGTTAATGCCTAGTGCTATATAGCGCGACTGAACCGATCGAACGGTACAGATCGCCTATGCCCTATACTCAGTACGCAAGCAGCCGTTTTCATCTCGTCTATCAACGTAATGTGGTTCGCCACAGTAAAGCTAGAGAAACCAAAGCATATTTATAGTTAGGTCTTTATTATGTATGCACGTATATGTACATATGTAGGGTCTGCCTTACTGAGTGGCTCATTGATCACACTATGGAAAGAAAAGGTGTTTTACTCGTGCACTCAATTTTCAAAAAGGATATTTTCAACAAACCTGATTAAAGCTGTTGATTCACACAATTTCATTCAAATTTTATTCACATTATTGTTCATGTGACCAAGAAAGTACTCTAAATCTTATTATCAGTAAATCTGAATTATTAATTGCTTAATCGTTTGAGATTTACTTTTCAAAATAAATGACCTGACCTTCAAATTTAGTAGTTTTAACAAAATGTTGTATGAATCTAAACATTAGTGGGTCCTAAAACGGCAACATTTTTTCTAAGGAACTTTAGTTTTGGCAAAAATATGCTTTGAATTTACATTTCAAGTTTGTTGAAATCTTCAGAATAATATAAATATACTGATATTTATTATGCCGTATTGAACACGTTCCTGTAAAAATATCCGCCTCATTTAGAAATTAAATACGAAAACATTGTGCTCATATATTTGAAAAGTAGAAGATACTTTTATACTTTTAAATATTTATTACAAAAATGAAGATTTGTTTATAGAAAAAATGTGTCCATTTCAAATCAATGGAAGAATCCAAAAGAAAACACTATTTTTAGCTAGCATGGGTTATACTGTTGATTTCTTAATTTACGGACTCTGGAATACCGACTAATTTCATCTCTAATTCAGTATTGAGGAGAATATTGTTTTTACATTTAAAGCAAAAGGATGACATGTTCGATAGGAACTTTTCTAATAAATTTTACCTACACCAAATCTTTCCTATTGCTAAAAGGGATTATCAAAATCTATATAGAAAGTGATCCATTCATGAACTCTTCAGCCTGCATATGTACATAAATCAGCATACAACTTATACAAGAAATTTAGAAATGTAAGCGGCATAGCTGAGCGGACGCCACTGCGCCACAAGTGCCGCCGCTTCACAAGCAGTGGCATCAATATCGCAGACATATCACAAGTTGCACAAATCGAAAACCCCCCAAAATTCGGGTGCCATTGTGGCGGACTTGTGAGCGTTGCGAGTGACGCCCGACCAGCTGTGCCATATGAGTTTGAAAATGTTTGCAATTTTTAGTTTTGTCGGCTTGTTGAATGCAACCGACCTGTTCTTAACATAAGACACAACCAAGGTAACGATACATATCAGAGTCCATCAATGGCTCGCCTGTTAAAATTACCAAAAGTGATATTAATTATTGCTATATTTAGTCTACACACAACTACAAAAGTTGTCATATCGATAACATATTTTTAGGCCACAACTAATGTGCATAATGTTACATTTTTATTATGTGTGTACATATACATATATACATATATATTAAAACAAATATCTATATATACATATATACAAAGTGGAAGCAACAACTTGAACATATTAGAAATTTCATATTTACCTACCAATCAATTATAATTTGCTTGTTGGCTCTATGAGCATAGAGGTTGCCCGAGATCGGGCGGCCACCATAGCAGCTCGACGACAGCATAGCATGGATATGTGTACCTTGTATAAGTATAACTGAGTACATAAGCTAGTAGCTAATTAACTAATACATGCATAAGAGTGTGTAAATCATACAACATACATACATACATACTATTTATATCGTATTTTTGATTAACTGAAACAAGTTCAATTCGTTTCAATTGCACCAACCTTCTAAGGCAGTTTACTGCACTTACGAATATATTATACACCTTTTAGCCTGATTCAAAAAAAAAAAGAAAAAACTATACATTTATTTACGAGTGTGTAGACCTATCGATAAGTAACTGAATTTTTATATACATACCTACAATTATGCATAAACATAGTTGTCATCATCTACATATTTGTAATGCAATTATATGTAAATGTATGTACACAAAAATATTTAGTATGTACTATATATTTTTAAAGGGTATTACTCGACTTAAATTATATTGGAACTTGAACATGTTATATCCGTAAACATATCAGTGAAACGGCCATTTTCAAATAACTATCAATGCTACTATACATACATATATACAGGAGGGTATATAAAGTATCTTATGTAATACATAAGCAATTGCATAGTTCTACAAAACTAAAACCCAAACAGGAAACAGTTTTATATAGAAGCAAACATACTTTTAGCGAATGCACTGATTTAAAATTAACTGATTTATAGTTGAAAAATCCTCAATAGCTTATAAATATTCTATTGAATTATATGTATTTTTGAAAAAGGTAAGAAAACACTATATTATTTTTTTAACTGAAAACTAAAATTACTCATTTAGTTGCACACTTCGAAGCCCCTAAACAAAAAAATTTCCATAAATCTGAAACATTAATTAATTAATTTATCTTTATGTTTTCAATGGATTTAATTTCTTAATGCAATACACAATGAAATATTAATGAAACGAAATATAGCTCCTCTACCTATATACATACTATACAAGGAAATGTATAAATAACTCTAGTAATAAAAGAAAAGCATAATGAATAAAACTCATGAAAAAATCTCCCATCAAAAGTATCAATTAAAACGACGAACGGAGTTGAAGTGTAACAAAAACCAACTATATATACAAACATATATACAAAACGATTAAAAAAAAAAATAGTATATACAACTAAAGAAAGATATAATATATGTAACATATAAAACGTAAAAAAGGATATAATATTAAATAGTTAATATATGAAAAAATAAATGTTTGTAAATGTATTGAAATCTATTCAAAAGCAATACTTTAAATAGTAAAAAACAAAAACATATACATGCATGCTTATAACAATTACCAAGTTCCCGATATGTTGTGTAACTGTGTGGAAGAGTAGGTGAAATTATCTCTGATCCAAGAACATTTTGAAAAGTGCTTATGCTAGAAAGTATTAATGGTGTTCATCGATTACTTGTGAATTGATATCAGTTTTTAAAAATGAGTTTCTTGATTCTCTCCTATTATTATTCTACTATTTTATCTCTCTCTCTTTCTCACTCTAAGCCTATTTCATTGTGTATGAAGAGTTTAATGTTTATTTAACCTAAGTCTTCATCAGAATATTATTATAGATGGACTTAAAATTGGTAAAAGCACTGTTTATAAAAGAACAACAGAATTCTCACATGTACACAGCGTATCGGGAGCATGGGAAATAAATAACAAACAATATTAAGCAAGTCGTTGTAAGGTATGCAGCACTCTTCTTTGCAAACCAAATTTCAATTTCATAATGTGTAAAAAATTTCAACAAAAACTATACATAACAAGTAACTAAATTAAAATCAGTACAAACCGATAGCATATCTTACATTGAATTGCTTGTAAATATCATAGCTTCAATGTATAGCAACTGCATTTGTTTAATTGACCCATACCAACTACTTGTACTATCACCAGCTATCCTGAGCAGTTATTGAAAGCTGTTTGAGCCTTACAGCTTCTTTCCAGCAAAGCCTTTATAACAGGCACTATTAACATAACAAACTTTCAGAGACATATGTATCTATGTACATATGTACATATGCATGATAAATCTTCCAAAACGGGTTAAATAAGTATATGTGTAGAAATGCTATTCATTTATATATACATACCTAATGTAGTAGATAGTTGACCCGACCCGGCAGGTCTACAGAAGTCGTACGGCAGTGTAAAGTTCGTTGTATATTTCAGAACTGACTGTACGGTTTTGGAGCAGTCGCAAAAGGTCGAGGGTGTATGTAGCTTAAAGAGTATGTAGCTATAGTAGTGCCGGCAATGTGTAATATCGTACGAAGCTGCGAAATGACGACAAAATTAAGCTCTCATAGGTGTTGCGAAGTATAAATAATGAACAAAATTAACATTAATACTGTAATTAACTAAAATCTGACTTTTGGCGACACAAATTCATTTACAAAATGTAACTTCACATGGTAAACGTGTTGAATGTTCAATAGCATATATATAAATTATATCTAAAAAGTGTGCATTAAATTATATTAATTTTGAATTAAAAAGTATATATGTAAATTTAACAAAAACAAAAGAAGTTGTTTCTGTTTATAGACACCGCACTGAAAACTCGACAGTGCATTATATACAAGTACATATGTAATACATACATTGATATTGTGAAAACGTTTCGATATACATAGATGCCACTGAAGTTTTCTAAGTGTTGTGTGTGAAACGGCGTTTAGCAAAACTAATTTTAAATACATACGTACTAGAAAACATGTTTATAAACAAATGAATGCCCTAAATAAATGCCGCCTAAGTTCATTTTTGTATATAGGCAGGAAAACTTAGTTTAAAACTTGACTATTGATACATGTTTTTAAAGTACACACAATAAATTACTAAATGAAAATAATCGGAAATAATCGTTTCTGCTAATGTTATAGGCGTTTGTGTTAAAACTAAAAATCAAATAATTAATATTAAAATCCAGTTTTAAATTAATATTTGAAACAAAATTTAAACTCCTATTTAATTACCCAGTTCTGTAATGTTGCTGTTCAATTTGAAAGACTACCCAACTATTTTCTATGCCATATTATGTTTCTGTATCTATCTTAAATACAAACATATTGAAATCATATACATATCGAATAGAAAGCAGTTAAAATACTTTATAGCTAGATCGTATTAATTTCTTTGCATCCCAAACTTGACAGACAACACAAATATTATGTTGAACAATCAAACAGATATGTAAGCATTTGCCATTGACATATGCAATTATTTTCCATTTGCATAATTAACAGAATATTAAAAGCCTTCAAAAAAATCACACACACATACACTGGCAAGCAAACAACAATTTTAAACAGAGTTTAGTGCAAAAGGCAATGTTATGAATTATAAATTGTACGAATAGCAAACAAACATAATATACATACATAAATGTATGTACGAGTATGCTTATGCCTTATGTATATGGATATATGGTAACGATATGTGCAAGGCTACAAAAATAATTAAAGCTTTTACAATAAAGCATAATTACAGAGCGACAAACATACATACATACATACCACACATACAAACAAATACTATTGAAATATAATTGTTAACCATGGAAAAAATACATATGACTTTTATTGGGAAAGCTGCAATCGCTATATCAGGATAGAGCAGTGATTCGAACCAGAATTAAAATCGAACTTACCTCAT